AAAAAATTAGAGTTTAAAAAAATAAACGCAAGCAAATTTGCCTGTGTTACAATTTAAGGGATAATATTTCATTTTAAATTAAATTTCTTAGTTGCTTTAAGTTCTGCTATAACTAGATTCCATAATCTATCAGTAATTCTTAATAATAAATGAAGTTCGTCAACTATTCAATAATCAATAGTAATCATTGAAAGAAGTGGCTTTCTAATATGACCATTTTTTTTAGTAAAATTTTGACTAATTTCTTCTATTGATTTGCTTATGTTCTAATCATAGTTAAGATCTCTATTTAGCTCTTTTTTACACTCGCACCAAAGACAAAAATCATGTAAATTTGCTGCTTTATGTCCTAAACACAATGCAAGCATTTTCCAATCAGAAGAAAAATACAACTTAATAGCCCATCGATTTTTATTATCATTGTCAAAACCATCTTTGATATCTCTGAGATCTTTTGCCAAAAACTCAAGTGCTATTTGTAAAGTATTATATTTTTCTGCCTTGGATAAAGTAATAATAAATAGTGACTACCAGGTTTATTTATATTTTCTAAATCATTTAGGATAGCAAAAGTAAACATGATATGATTGACTTTGCATCCTATGTTTTGACTATCATCTGAAATTCTTATATATAATACAGGAGAATCTAATAATAAAATATTTTTTTTAAGCCAAATAGGAATTATATATTTCAAAATACTTTTAATTAACCTATATATGCCAGCTCCAATTGATTTTGTAATACTATCAACAATGTTGTTTTCTGTGTATTCAAAATTAAAAATAGTTGTTGATATATATTTATTCATTTCTTTGTTAATTTGTTGTCGCATATTTGCTACAGCACATTCTTGCAGAAGATTTTGACAAATAGCTGCCAATTCTCTATATGTTGTCCATAATATTCTCTCCTGATCTGTAGCACAAACAATCATTTGAAGAGAAGATTTATCACTATTATTAAATTGCTGATTTTCATTGTTTTTATAAACGAATCAATAGTAGTTATTGTTAATTGAAAAAGTCGTCTCATGTAAAATGACTTTATCATTAGAATGAAATGCAATAGAAATTGTTTTGTTAACTAAATCTTGAAACAGTAATGCACCTTTCTTGCTACGATTTCTTTGTGCAGTCTTACTTAATAAACTATAAGACTTCAATTTTGTAATTTGATCTAATTTACCAATTTCTTCAACTTGATATAATAATAATTGTTGTTTACGAATTTTAGACCATTGAGCTGTATTTGGATTATATGATAAATTATTGTGGGTTTTTCTTTTTCTATTTAAGTTAACTTGATCTCGTTCAAAAGCTACTAAATTATTATAATATTTTTGACAAAGCTCATCATCAACTTTAAAAGCTTCTATAATTAAATCACTATTAGGACTATTATTGGCTATTTCAAGAGACTTTTTAATAAGTTTTCGAAATGTTTCAGAAGTGTTTTTATAACTACAAATTGCACAAGATCCTATATTTTGCCAAGATCTTCTTTTCGCCATTATTATAAACAAAGTTCATACTTTTAAAAACAAATTAAAGTTTTTATTTGTTTTTTGCATCGCAATTTTGCAGAATTAGGGTATAACAGTAAATAAAAACAATTTCACAAACAATATAGATTTATGAAAAGTAGGGTAATTGATTTTAAGTTTAATAAGTTTTAGTTTTTATTCTAAAACTATAATTTTTTGCCACAATAGTAGAATTATAGGTAATGGTATAATAGTTGTAGCAGGTATAAGGAGGCTGGTTTAAAAGTTCAAACTTAACAACTATCAAAAACAAATTATCATAAAAAAGATAAGGAAAAGATATTTGAATAGCTCATAAAATCTGTAGTGATAAGTCATATTAACGGAATATATAATGTTTGCATAAAAGAATCAGAATCAAAAAGAATGAGATGTTTTAATAGATGCAGAAAAAAATATTAGTCCTGTGATCTTGGCATGATTATAGACCAATTATATTTAGAGATCAGGTGAATGCAATATGATCAAAAACATTAATATCTTATCCTAATACAAATGCCAACCCTAATTTTAAGATATTTTTCTTATATCAGAAAGGTCACAGGGCCTACACTTTCTTGCAGCACTGCTAACTCAGCTTTCAAATAATATATAAAATTTACAAAGATAGACTATACTGGTAGAATACATAATGATTGCCAAAATAGAATTGGCACCAAGAAGTAGAGTATGAATTAATTTTATAATAATCATTTTAATCATTAATCAAATTAGAATCGATTCTCATTTTTGTATAATAATTTTAGTTGTTTCTACAAACAATTATTGCGCTTCGTGAAAAGGTGTAACCCCATAGTTTTTATAATGATCAAAGGAAATTTTTGAGATTCTAGATTGTCTATTAATTATATTTTCAATCATCGATTCTGATTTTTAGAATCGATTCACAGCCCTACCAAGAAGAATGAAGTGTTTGAATAGTCTATAACATAAGTTCTGTCTTAAATATTTAATATTGGTGTAGAATCAGAGTCAAAAAGGATAATAGGAAAGCATTCAAGTAAAGAAACCAACTGAGATAGTCAATATTATCATTGGCTTGTTGATGATAATTAGTATCGAAAAGGCTAGAGGTTTGCACTAAAGTTGCCTACCATAATAGGTTTAATTTTTTGCTATAATAGGTATAATAGATATAATGGTTATAATCAGTGTTGGTACATGACCAAGTCATAATGTATCATATTACTAAGTTTAATTAGTAAAGTCATATGATCTCAGTCATATGACTTTACTAATTGAACTTAGTAATATGACCTGTTATAATCTGGTCATATACCAACACTAGTTATAATAGATGTGATGGTTGTACTGGTATAATGATCTGTTATGCTAATATGTAATTGCGCGACGCTTTACGCTAAACAAGATATTCAGTGATACTATCAATTAGTATTTCAATCCAAATTCAAATTAGATCTGATAATTTGATTAAATGTGAATATTCATATTCATTAATTTGTAGAGGATAGATCTGTAAGTCATAATCCTAGAAAGACTCTCTATAATTACCTAATTTAAATTATTTAACTAGACAAGTTTTTTAATAAACAATCTTGGTTAGTGTTTTTTTCCTGACTATTCTGGACATTAGATAAGTCAAGGTAATATTTTACAAGTAGCGACCATCTTTTCTTATTCTATCAAATTG